GAGGAGGAGGACGACAACTACGACGACGACGATCCTGGCCAGGCCACTCCTCGGGTGCATGATTGGTGTGTGCTCTTTCCGGGAAGCTTCCCGCTATTTTCGGGAAGGCCAGCTTGGCTCGCCCCGCCGCGCAGACCCCCTGGAGACGTAATTAAGGGGAAGACTTCTGGGGTCCTCCCGAGACTTCAGGGATTCTCCGGGATACTCCCGAGCCTTCTTGGAGTCTCCACAAGAAAAGAAAACACATCCAAGTAGAGGTACGATTTTCCTTCTGGAGGCCCTGTCCGCTGTTTTTGTTCACCGCGGAGTTTCGACTTGCAGCACTCGTGTCCGATCCTTTGTTCTGGAGACTTCTGGAGGCCTCCAGGGACCTTCGGAGAGTTCATGTGGGACCTCGCCCTACCAACTCTTCGCTCCGTTCCTCATGCTGCTGGGGACTTCTTGCGACCTGGGGACCTTCTTCACCTCCCGACCCTCCTCCTCCGCCTGATCCTCCTCCCTTCTCTCTCTACTCACTTCTCCCTCCTCTTCCTGGCCGTCCCTTGATCCTCCTGACCTTACCCCTCCTCCTGACCCTCCTTTATCCCTTGCCCCTCCTTCATCCCCTGGCCCTTCTCCTCCTTCCCCTGACCCTGATTCCCCGCCTTCGCCTGGTCCTCGTCCGCCCCCTCCTCCCAGCACCCTCTTGCCTGACCCTCCGCCCCCCTCCGCGACCACCGTGGCGCAAGACATTTTGGCTCAGAGCGCCCAGCTGCTTCAGCCTCGGCGACCCTTGGCCAGGGCCCGACGCAGCCGCCGCGCCGCCGCGTTTTTCCGGGAGACCATGGCGCGATCTGCCAAGTCGAAGGGGCTGGGGTATCTACGGGGCCCAAAGGTATACACCACATTAACCGCCACCACCACGCTAAATCCCTCCCTCTTCTAGGAAAGAGGGGAGGAAGATGAGGGTGGAGGAGGGAGGGGGAGTGGTGGTGGTGGTGGTGGTGCACATTGTTGGGGCCCGCAGTATCTCTTCCTGGGCCTGCTGGGCGCCGCCCTGTCCCACGAGCTGGCCTCCGCCTTCGCGGGCGCTCCCTCGCCGCGCGAGAGCGCCCGCGAGGCTGCCGTGTCCATGGCGGGCGGGCCGAAGGACGGCATCTTCACGCCGATGGTGCAGGGAGCCAAGGTGATCGTGGGCGAGCAGCAGCTGAAGGAGTCGCAGAAGACAAAACGGCCTGAGCATAACCTCTCGGTGGCCCGCGCGGACCTCCGACAGTTTATGCTTATACCTCGTTGTGTTCCTCCAAGGATATCCGCGCACAAGTGATCAAACTGCACGGGGAGCTCATGGCCAACTTCATAGATACTGCAAACTCGCCCAGCGGAGACTTTGCCCTTGAGCAGCTCTTCAAAGCAGCCGACACAGATGGCAGCGGCAAGCTTGACAAGGAGGAGCTGAAGGTAGCGCTGCAGAAGCTTGGCTTCTCGTGGATGGGGGACGAGAAGGTCGAGAAGGTGGCAGCGAAGGGTGACACAGACGACGATGGCTTGATCGACCTTGACGAGTTCAAGCAGATGGCTCCCACGGTGCTGCGCCAGAACCTCTTGAAACTAGCCAAGGAGAACGGCGCAGAGCTCGGCTTCCTCAGCTGAGTGCCGCCCTGCTTTTCGGAGCCTCTTCCCACAGCCTCGAGCTGCAGGAATGCTTGACACAGCGAGGAATTCGGGTTGAGGCTTCCTCCCGCGTCTGATTCCCAATTTTCGGCCCAGACCTCCGACGTGCTGCTTCTCTGGGGCGGCGGCAGAGGTCTCCCCCCTCCCTCTGGGGTCAGCTTCTCTCGTCCCGGCCCCACTTCTGACCGCCCCGGAGCCCGCAAGAGGACCACTAGGGGCCGAATTCGAGGAAACTCGCCAGGCGCCTATGCAAGTGAAGCAGCGCCTCGGGGGTCTGGATGGTGTGCTCTGGCGCCTCGCGCGTCCAAGCCCTTGGGGCAGGACCCTTCCCGCCACAGGGCGGACAGCTCCTTGCCAGTCGGCAGTCTCAAGTCCATCGCACTGCACATGCCTCCAACGCTGGGTTCCCGAAGCGCCTGACCCCACCACGGGGAGTTGCCGCGTGTCCTCCCTCCGCACCCAGGCTTGCCCTCAGGGCTCTCACGGGTCTGCGCAGGGAGCGCTCCTTCGCCAGGGTGTGCGTCGTGGGCCTCATCGTAAGCCTCGAGTGCCTGCCCGCTCGCTTCCAGCGCACTTCGCGTGGCCAGCGACGTTGCCTGGAAGCTTACTCCGGGCGCGCCTGCTCGCCCCGAGCGCACGCGGCAGTCGCCCTCGCTGTCGGCGGGCGGCTCGCCCCGGGCGCGCGCGCTCGCTCCGGGCTGCGCTGCCAGCGTTGCCGCCCGGATCCTGTTGCTCTCTGCGCACCCGCTCGTCCCCTCGGCGCGCGGCGCGGCGCCCTCCTGCCAGCCCAGCCCGCCCAGCCCGCCCAGCCCGCCGCAGCCCGCCGCAGCCACAGCGATCTGGCCAGACCAGCCGAGTCTGACGAGGAGGTCGACCTCTGCAGCATCACGGGTGCCCAGGGGCGCCGTCGAGGGGGGCGGCGCGAGAGCGCGAGGCCGCTCGCGCTCCGCGCTCCGCGCTGTGCTCGCAGCGCGAAGTTGGGCGCCCTCGGTACCCCTGTGTCCGGCCCAGCGCGCCTCGGAAGAGCCTTGTGTCCTCTCGGGAGTCCCTCGGGGGCGCCGACCGGGGCCCAGGCCACCGGGCGCGTCCCACTACTCGCAGAGCGCCTCCTCGCAAACGTCAAAAAAGCACCTGACTGCCTCCGAGGTGCTGGACTGTGGGTCCCCCGCGGCGGAGCCAGGCCATCTGCGAGCAGTTACCTTGCGAGTCGTGGAACGCGCTTGTCATCGCCCACCTAGCGACCCCAACCCAACCCGAAGGCCCCGATTTGCCCTCCATTTCCAGTTGGGGGGGGGCGGGGAACATTCAAAAAACACAAAAAGCCCGTACCCCACCCAACTCGAAATTTGGGTCCTCGGGTTGGGTTGGAGTGGTCCGGTAGGTAGTCAGCATGTCTACCAGGGGCGCCGACCGTGGTCCATGGGCGGCGGCGCGCCTGGGGGGGGGGGGAAGTGAGAGGGGGCAGGCCCTCTCAAAAGTCTCGGAAGCCCCCCCGCCCTCTGATAAGTTCCATGAGCCTCCCCCAGAGACACAGGAAACCTCTCAGAAGGCGCGAGGGCTTGTGAGAAGACCCGCCGTCTTCTGAGAAGGCCTTCCAACAAGGCCTCCTCCTCCTCCTCCTCCTCCTCCTCCTCTTCCTCCTCCTCCCCCTCCTCCTCCTTCTCCTCCTCCTCTTCCTCCTCCTCCTCTTCCTCCTCCTCCTCGTCCTCCTCCTCCTCCGCCTCTCCTCCTCCTCGTCCTCCGCCTCCTCCTCGTCCCCTCCTCTCCTCTCCCCTCCTCCCCCTCCCCCTCCTCCTCCTCCTCCTCCTCCCCTCCTCCTCCTCCTCCTCCTCCTCCTCCTCCTCCTCCTCCTCCCCTCCTCCTCCTCTCCTCCTCCTCTCCTCCTCCTCCCCCCGTCCTCCTCTCCTCTTCCCCCTCCTCCTCCTCCTCCTCCTCCTCCTCCTCCTACTCTCCTCCTCCTCCTCCTCCTCCCCCTCTTCCCCTCCTCCTCCTCCTCCTCCCTCCCTCCTCCTCCTCCTCCTCCTCCCTCCTCCTCCATCCTCCTCCTCCTCCTCCTATCCTCCCCTCCTCCTCCGCCTCCTCCTCCTCCTCCTCCTCCTCCTCCCCCTCTCCTCCTCCTCTCCTCCTCTCTTCCGCTCCTCCTCCTCCCTCCTCCTCCACCTCCTCCTCCTCCTCCTCCTCTCCTCCTCCTCCTCCTCCTCCTCCTCCTCTCTCCTCCTCCTCCCTCCTCCTCCTCCTCCTCCCTCCTCCGCCTCCTCCTCCTCCGCCTCCTCCTCCTCCTCCTCCTCCTCCTCCTCGTTCTCCTCCTCCTCCTCCCTCCCTCTCCTCTCCTCCTCCTCCTCCTCCTCCTCCTCCTCCTCCTCCTCCTCCTCCCTCCTCCTCCCCCCCTCCTCCTACCTCCTCGTCCTCCTTCTTCTCACTCCTCCTCCTCCTCCTCTTCCTCCTCCTCCTCCTCCTCCTCCTCCTCCTCCTCCTCCACGTCGACCTTGCGAAGCAGGTGATAGACGGGGACAGGGACCGTGGGGTCGTCTTCTACCAGCCCCAGGGGGGAGACATCACCAGGCTTTTCGAGTGCAAGCGCAACGAGTACACCTTGAAGGTGCACGACAAGGCCAAGGAGTCCGGCCTCGACTTCGACTTCCAGGGCAACCTGAAGACGATCAACGAGGCCGCCTGAGCCCGCAAGACTGGCGGTGTGCCGGGTCCAGGGCTCCACATTCTGAGTTGGAACGTGCAGGGGATTGCAAGCCGGGAGCTTGACGACGTCTGCAAGCAGCTGGAGAGGGAGATGTCGTGGGACGTTCTTTTACTCCAGGAATTCAGTTTCACCAGGGATTAATTTACTAGTACTACCGATGGGCACGCCGTGTACGCACAGCCTCCACGGCAGGGGCAGCGACGCGCAGCCATCATCGTGCACGCCCACTTGGCGCACCTCGTCGACGGAGAATATTTCAAGTCTCTGGGACGGTCATGTTGTATTGACTTCCAGTGGGGATGATGGAATCTCAGGTTGATTAGCGCTCACCTTTATGCTGGGAAGATTTTCCGAGATTACGTTGCTTCTTTGATTGATTTGTCGACTTTGTGCTCAGACCTTCAACCGAATCACTATATCATGATTGGTGTGGATGCTCAGGATGTGCTTGGCCCGGCTGCTGCTGGCGACGAATCCGTCTTGGGCACGTTTGCATTCGATTTTGCTTGGACTGCCGGGCGCGCGTGCTGAACACAATCGAAGGTGTCCAAGGCCAGCGTATCACCTGTCACTACGATGGGAAGGCGGAGCCCAGACAGATCGATTACGTTTGCTCTTATTTGCCACACTGGGCCATAAAGTCGTGCGGTGTTGTCGATTCCGAGGCGACTGTATCAGACCATTGGGCCATCGCGACTACTGTCATGCCGCGCGACGCCCGCGACCTCCGTTCCCTTTCAAGCTAATCGCAGCAGAGAAAACCAATACGTTGGGAATGCCATGACAATGCTTAAAACGACGACCTTCGACATCATTTGGGGCTACCGAAAATTAATGGGCAGACTGGGATTCCGGAGGAGGCGGTGCACGTGTACACGGACGGGTCGTGTATGATCAAACGACGGGTTGCATGCGCAGCTGGTTGGGGATTGGTTGCTTACCCGTTTGGTACACAGCCGGGCGAGGTTAACGATCTCTTGATCGAGGCGTTCGGTCCCGTAACCCTGGACAAGTCGAGTGAGATGTTCGTGGGAGCGGAGCGCCTCACCAACAATACGGCTGAGCTGAACGGCATCGTCGAAGCCTTGTTGTACATGATGGCGGACGTGGAAAGGGATCCAGAGTCTTGCTTTGGATGTTCACCAGTTGTTTTACATACAGACTCAAGGTACGCAGTGGGAGTTATTACTGGCAAGTTTGCTGCCCGGGAAAATATCCATTTGGCTCGACTGGTTCGCCATCTTTGGGGCTGCGCCCGCAAACGTATACACCTGCACATCGCTTGGGTCAAGGGCCACGCAAACTCGGCAGGCAACGTTCGGGCTGACGGAGCAGCGCGGCGAGGCGCAGACCGAACAGAACAGCGAATGTGGTGGAATCGACCGTTTACGCTCAGAGAGTGGGGGGCAGACGCGTTTGCTGATGTTTCCGAGGCACAGTTGCCTACAGATGTAATCCGTTCAGATATTGATTTGACCACGTTGACTGGCGTCGTGACTACAGCCGCCAGTACCTGTGGGAAGCCAGCGAAAGGATGGACGAGACCAAAGTTACCAGCTGAAGATGCAGACCTCGTCTTGCTCAGGAGTTCCTTGCTTGCGCGGCGGAGCACAGATGACCCAGTCGAGAGAAAGGAGTGGTCGCATAGGTTGTGCCGTATTCGCAGACGAATCCGGAGGAGAGAGAAGGCCATTATGTGCGACCTCATTGCGTCCGGCGCCGCGCCTCCAAAGGCGGCCGCGCGCAGGAAGAAGCAGCCAGTCCAGCAGCTGAGACTGCGCGAGGAGGACCCGAAGAGCTTGACCAACAACCCTGATGCGAAGCAAGATTTGGTAACTTCATTTTTCGACACGCTGTTTTCGGACACCCGGCCCGATACGATTCCGCATTGGATCCATGATGTATGGCCAGCCGTGGCCCTGGAAGACGAGCCAGCTCTGACGGGGCACGTGGTCCGGGAGGCCGTCGACGCTCTGGCTCGCGGCAAGACGTGCGGTTCAGACATGCTGGTGGCAGAGATGTTGAAGGAAATGGATGATGACGTGATGTCTGCGCTCGCCTGCTTATTCTGGGCGCGTTTGTTGAACCTGGCGCAGTGTTCATCTGACCATTGTTGGGACGACCATCTTGTGACGCTCTTACAAAAGAAAGGGTTTGCAAATCGCGTGCGGGATTTTCGGCCCATCGCCGTTCTTCCTGTTTTGTGCAAGGTGTACTCCGGAGTCATCCTCAAGTTGGCGAGCCTTGTCATCAAGAACCTCAACAGCCCACAGTTTGCAATTCGACCTGGATACCAAGCACACGAGGTTATATACATAATGCGCTCGCTCATCGAGAAGTCTTCGGAGTGGCAGGACGCCCTCTTCACCCTGGACGGCGACATCGCGAAAGCGTACGACTATACTCGCCACTAGTGGTGTTCCAGGCCCTCGCGGACAAGAAGGTGCCGGATGTATTGTCCGCGGCGTGGATTCGGGAATTCCGGCGTTGCCGGTCCACTTTCGTGCTTGATGATGCAGTGTTCTCAAAACCAGTTAAGAGAACGAGATTTTTATTGCAAGGTGACCCAGCCGCCCCCGCGCTGTTCAACTTGGCACTCGAACGTCCTGTGCGTGATTTCCTACAGCTGGCTCGCGAGAAACGGTGGGGCAAGGGGTTGGAAGACGGTTCTCGGCTCGCACTGTTGCTTTACGCTGACAACTTCTGGCTGGTGGTTTGCAGCGCCCCGGAATTGGCTCAGATGTCGAAGGCTTGGTTCGACATATTGCGCAATTACGTTTGGCTCGTGCCACTGGACGAGACCTCGTGGTGCACAACGGCCACGGATGACGCGTCGACGTCGATGAGCGTGTCGACGGCGTCAGTTTGAAACGAGCGCCCAGGGCGGAAGGCTTCCGAGTACTGGGTACGATCGTCACCTTCAACAACAGCCACGAGGCAGAGCTGGACAATCGCATATCTTGCGCTTGGCGCGCCTTCTACAAGTATAGGGACCTTTTGTGCTGCAGAACGACGTCGGCCAGAAAACGTTTCAGTTTGTTGCGTTCGTTGGTAAATCGTTCGTTATTTTGGTGTTCTGGTAGTTGGAATCTTACCGCGGCTCAAATGTCCAAGCTGAGGGGGTTGCAGCAG